AGCATGAGGAAACAAATAGTTGAAAAAAAGTAAAAAACATTGTTGTCAAGACGTTGATTTATTTGGGAAAGTGCATTGCTAAGAGATCTGTAGATCAATTTCACCCGGAGACGCCATGTGATTCCCGCTGTATGTTCAGGCTAATGCATATCTTCATCATGTATTAGCACAATTTTATCTCCGGAGATTCTTTGAAAGCCGCGCTTTTTTCGTGTAGAAAAATAGACATTTGGTCCATCTACTTTGAGGCTCTTGATGCTGAATTCCGCGTAAATTGTTGCTATTAGTTGTCTATAAAATAAGGGCTAATCTTAAGGAAAGATAGATATGAAAGGAATACGAAAATATTTATCTATTCTCTCGAGGCTAGTAAATTAAAAGCGAGCCCAAAAGTTGATTGCCGCAGCAATTTAATTAGTATAGCTTTACTATCCGAATAAAACTGAGTCAATTGAACCGAATTCTAAACTTTCTTGATTCAGTTAAATAGGCTTGAGATAAGGATTGCTTTTATTGTTCTAAAGATGTGTTTAGAGTGAGAAACAAGTTTACTCATTTTTAGCATACTTCAGATTCACAAAAGACCCATTCTATCTTCCATTTTTTGTGAATACAGTACAAATATTGATTTGGGAATCTAATATTCACACCCCGATGGTCATATCTTTCTAGCGCTGTATATTCCAATTGCATAAGGAACATTTATAAATACTTTTCCATACGCTTTTCTATTAAATAAACTCGTTCATTATCTGTGTTTATGCTATGCTTATGTGCCTTACATTTAACTACATCACTGTACTGTACTTTCAATAGTACGTAATATTAATTGCTAGACCCTCCTTTATTCCATTCTTTTTCATTTTACTTTATTGCCATACAATCATGCAATTAGGGCTGTACTCCTTGTGATTGCAGTCCGATTGGCGCTCGCGGAGAATCATGTGATAATACAATTGGCAGTTGCGAGTGCAGACCAAATGTCATTGGACGACGATGTGATGTATGTGCGACCAGCTTCTTCAACCTTACCCTCAGACATGGATGCCGACCATGCGGATGTAATCCCGAGGGAAGCTTGGACCAGCAATGTAATACGTCCGGCCAGTGTCGCTGCAAGCCGTTTGCAGTTGGGGATAAATGTGACAGATGCGAGGTACGGTGGCTGTTAAGGGGACAAAAAATAACAAGCCTGTTCACATAAATACGCTTAGAAGGACATTTACTGTGAGCATGGGCAAATCTGAGCAGTTGAGACTTTCTAAATATGGGGAAAGTTAGAAAAAGTTTGATACCATTTCTTTGTAGTACAGTTTATGTACAGTTCTGTTGAGAAATTCGATGGGAAGTTACTAACTATTTTTCGCATTTAAGTATTGTTTCGAGACTACCAGTAAATCAGTCGTATGAGATGTATCATCCAATTTCATTTAAGATGATGAAGGACTGGTATAAGAATTTTCCCACAATCATAAGAGTAGAGCTGACATTTCCATTGAATTTCACATAGCCTTGTTTTCCCAAAAGTTAATATTTAGTTCAGCCGCAAATCCAAATTCTTTTATTCGAAAGTATAAGAGCCAAAAACATTATGAACGAAATGTTTTTTATAAATCTATTTAAAAGCAGATATTATACTTAACTTTTTCAGCCCATTAAAATAATTATTGCTCCTAGCATTATTTG